ACAGACACAAAGGCAGAGAAAAGGGTAAGGTGAGTACTGTGGAAGTTTTCAAATATGACATACAGTCGGGTCATGGTAGTTTGAAGTCAGAAGTCAACTGTTGGTTAACAGACTTTTTTGTTATATGAGTATTCGTTGTCCAGACCGCACCACTTGGAGATAAGTTCATCGCTCACCTCCGATTGTTCAAATAGGCATAGTCCATGACTGTCAAGTAGTTTCCTCGTGTTTTTGTAAGCATGAACGTGCGTTCAAGGGTCTCTCAGCAAATTACCGATCAGTTTTCGCTCAGCATTACGCCAATTAAACTCAATTGCTAAGAACTTTCAGTAAACCCCCTCCTCCCAATACTGCCTTGTTCCAACTACTTTTGACCCATCCTAAGTAGTTTTGAAGTTATTTATAAAAGAAAATTCTGCTAGAGACTAGTTTTACTTGCCTTCAGGTAGTTGGACTTGCAAGGGGATTATTAAGGACTTATTCGCTCAGCTTTCATTAAATGATCTCTTACAGAAACAGTCAGCCAAATTACGTAATTGATATAAGTAGCGACTAAACGCTAAAAGTACTATTAGGAGTAAAACGCTGAAGCTTAGGGTTTTAATCAGAGGATCTTATCAGACGATCTAATCTCAAATGAGGAAAATCCTCAGAAAGATCTTCTGCAAGCAAAGATTTCGTCCGAAGGCACGTTTGAAAAAAACCGATTTGAGAAAATTTTCAGTGCACGAATTTTGGTGACCTGACCTCACATGCGCAATTCGCCGTTTGGCATTGCTGCTCTCCTTGTGAGATCTTGTGGTCGATCACCACCAGATTCATTTCATCGAGTGTAGGATTTCCAAGCACCCGAGCTTGACCAATTACCATCATTGGAACACTGGTGCGTTTCCTAATGAAATAATGCACATGCTTGAGAAATCCTCTTTCAATCACTCAAATAACACTCGCATAGTGGGAAAGAGAAGAAACAATGTCTTAAAAATGATTAAAAAGCTGTGTCCTTATAAAAAGGGAACTAAGGATGATAAAAGTTTTGTATGGTTGCACTTGGTGGCCTTTGTATTGACTTTTCACAAATACTGCATGTGAACAATTAACCTGCAGTCATCAGTCTTTTTAGTACTTGATATGTTCTCAATCCATTCATTAGTTGATGACCTTTATAATATGTGTGAATCTTAAATCACTCCTCAAATAAATCTGCATGGAAGTACATCAAAATTTTCCTTCATTAATTACCAGACTTCTAGAAAAAGTGTTCAACCCTATGGTCCGAATATCACTTATTACCGATTCAAGTGCCGGGCAAGAAACTCAACGTGGGTCACCTCCTCTCTGTGTAGATCCATTCCTGTCTAACGCAAAACCAAATTCCACCTATTAGCACTGCCGCTGGTTTACTTCCACTCTATTCTATTCTATCTCTCTGCCTTATTCTATTCCATTCCTTTGATCGGTGTTTATTTTTGCATTAACTCATTTGTTTTGATATTCTTACGGTTTAACCTGCTAATTATTCCTAAGTTCAATGATTCTTTTAAGGCATGTAAAAAATTTTGTTGTAAAGAGCGCTAAACACTAACTATAGCACTACATCCGTACAAATGGCCCTTCGTTATAGCCACTTCGCTGACATACCCCAGGTAAGCAAAAAGACCCTCTAATGAACACGTTTACGAATTGGCAATCAGGCTCCCTTGAGAAGTGCTTCCTGTCTTATCATCAAGTCCTTGACTTAGCTTTTGTCCACGATATAATGCTTCCTATTCGTGGAAGTTTTGCCTCAGCTCCCCTTCATTTTTATCGTTATTTTCATGTCATGAAAGTGAAGAGGCCAGAAAGAGTGAAAAACGTAGTCATCCCGTTCCAAGTCTCGCAACCGTGATTATCAACAAAGCAAACGCAAATTAAGCAATAAGTCAATAATTACTTACAACATTTACTAATTAGTTAATTAAACATCAAACGAACTTATAAGCTTACTTCAAATATTAGGAAGAAGATAGTGGTGAAAGATTAGATAAGAGTTAAAAACTATTGGATTTCTATTTAACAGTAAAATACTACAAATGGATTATTTGCTTCGACTAATCCATTTCAAACTAGACCCTCCACGTTGGGCACTCAAATACCACCCTTAAGGTAATCCAAGTGACTTAAAATACCTAAGAGCACGAAGTGGTACGGAACAAATTAGCTGATCGATAATGACTGGTTGAGCAATTGAATCTTTGGACATTTTGCCCCAATTTGTCGTAACTTGCGCAACCGACTAGTGAGACAGCACCAAATTCTATGAATTATCGTGGTCAAACCCGCCCTCTCAACTACCTCTCGCCATTGAAACTCAACCAATTGATGCATATGCAGTCAATATCATCACCGTTGCTTGTGTAGCTGGAATGGGGACTATGTTTATAGATTAGACTCTTAAACATAAAAGCACCAACTTCCCCGAAATCTAATACTGTTAAATCCATCAATATAATCTAAAGTGCTTGCCTTCGTGTTTAGGAATAGAACTATCAAAAACAGAGTTTTGTGATTCTCTTGTAGTAATCTAAATTATTTCATTTGGGAATAGGGGTTCTTTGGGAGTTTAAATCAATAAGCACCACTATGATAGTCGAAAATGGTAGACAGAACTATCAAGTTCATCCTATTTTATGCACAAAGGTTAGCATATCATGAGAGCTGAATTATTGCCATTTGAATAAGTTACTTATTAGCAGGAACATTTCACTCATTTAAACCAGAATCTCCCTTTTACCATCTGACTGGTAATTAAATTATTAAAATGAACTTGCTGTGTATATTTCACACACTCTTGAAGTTCACACCGACCATAGGGCGTCCAACGAAAGGCATTGATTAATGCTGTTCAAGGAAGGGAAACCAGAATGCCCATTAACCAGAACAACTTTGGATTTTTGCTCTTCGACATAACCTAAACACTGTCTACGAAGTTAGAGATCACGAGATCGATGACAATGAGTGCAAACCAACACAACCAATAAAGGAGTGGTGATATCCAAGTTTCCTAAAAGGGAGGTTACGAGATGTCAATACCAAGAATTGATTTCATACTTGCAAACGTGAACATCCATGCAATGCCTAATTAAATTGTTAAAGCGATCCAAACCAGCATTGCAATAGAATCGTTACTTAACATTTAACTGATTATACCTCGAAAAAGCACATATGATTCTACCTAAGGTTAACCGGAACATTAATTAGCACCCGCGACGATCATGTTAATCTAATTTTAATGCAGATACGTAATTATAACAGCAGTCGCAAAGATTAGTGAGATCGAGTTATAGCCATATAACTAATAGCGGTCCCCATCCCAGTAGATTTTAGGAAGGTAAAACTGTGATGTCAAAGACTGTAGTGAAACTATAAGTTCAGACATAAACTAAAATGTTAATTAGTATGGACAAATAAAAAGAAGAAAGATGAGACAAACGTAGATGACCTCTGAAGTCAGGTAGGATAAATGCCAACCAAAAAATTCATAAATGAACATAAGTTCTCCTATTTTACTTATACGTATACAAATACCTCAAAATAATCGAACCTGAGCCCGTGCGTTTACTAATTTTAATGTAAGTGGGTTCAATTAAATGGACAAATAAAGCCTTGTTTAAACAAAGAGGAATAATAATCTGGAATATTTTCTCTTGAAAAAATCACTAAGATCCCAAACAATAATTCCACCAGAGAACCAACAAGAAAAGACGATGGAATGTAAAGAAGTCATTGTGTGTATCCTGAAGCATTTATATAAAGATACCATTATCAATCACGTAAGCACAAACCAGAGGACAAATTAGATAGGCTTCAAGATTGGCACCACAACGAGGCAAAATGGATCTAATTCTTCGAATCCGAATTGTTATCTTCTTCTTCAAAAGCGTCCTGCGGCACTTGATATATATGCAGAGATTGCTAAAAAATTGGTTAGTAAATGATTAAAGTATGTAGACTGCCATATTATTAAATCCCATTAATCATTTGTATTACTAAAGATAATAGTCACTCTACAGTAACAACCAGATAAGCCTCTTAATTCGGACCAAGCGGAATAAAGAGAGACGTTTTACAACATTAATCCAAGTGGCCTCTTTCAGAAAGGCGAACCACAATAACCGACCCGCTATTTGGGGACGTGTGGATCGAGCACTGCGATATGCAACGGAAAGTCATCAGTATTTCCAGTAGACCCATAGTTATACAATGATCAAACCAGATATAATCGTAGGCATGAATCCGTAACCAACTGAATGCACACGCACTAGGTGACAGATTAGCAAATGCCAGAACAGTACGGAATCAAATCAAGTGTGTTACAATTTAAAAGCGAAATAAACTCAGGGGGACACTTTCTAAACTCATTCATTCACACCGAAACAGAAAAATAAACAGATGAAGCATCCATAACCGTCAGAATATACTACTTTCATTATGAAGAATTAGCACCCAGCATGAATGTATGATACGAAAGTTAAAATATGCCTAGTTATGTGATGAAATCTACTTTTTGCGGTGTGATTTATATATACAAATAATGGAATAAGGCTCCAAAATCTAAATCTAAAATAATAGCGTAAACCAAGATCATTACACAGTTCTCGGAAGTTAATAACCATGGAAAACAACTAAAAGGGAAAATTATGCACGGAAACCCCACCTTATTCGCATCCTTGAGTATAAGATAAGTTCCGTCTTCACATTTCATGAAGTAGTCAATGACGAAACGCAGAATACCCCAAGCATTGTCCATGTTCAGATTGATTTGCTTGGCGAAATCCAAAGGTCGGCATTCATGGGTGCCGAGAATCACATGGTTTGAGGTATCCTTAGGGTTTACACGGGATACAAATCTAGTCAACACATTGAGAGAAATTAACAACAGAGCATTTAAGTCAACAGTCCAATAACGTGCATACCACTTACCCGAATTTAAGCAAATCAGCACCTGCCAATATAGTAGCCACAGTCCATTTAGCTAACTTGCAAGAATTATTCTTCAGCTCAGAGGCGATAACCGAACCACGTTGAGTATCGAGCTTGCTACGCCAGTTCTCACCATTACAATACTAAATCGGAGAGGAGGGTAAATGGAAGAAAAGATAAACGCTTACTCGACTATCAAACTCATTGAGAGCCTTGATGCAACAGAACATGATGGATTCAGCATTCTGTTTCTTCTTTTTCTTTTTGCCTCCCTCCTCATCTTCCCGAGTTGGCATAACAGAATCGACTTCACAACGGATAATACATCTGACGTTGTTTCCCAGATCAAAGTGGCGATATCGGTAACCTACTGAACCCACACGTTCAGCTTCCGTCTTGTCCTCAATGAAAGGATTCGGTTTCTTGAATTTGTACATTTCTCCGTCCTAATAATAGCAAAGCGTCAACAGTAAGTCAGATTTAAGGGGAACTTAAATAATTGGATAACGTCCAAACCTTAAGAGCCTGTTGAGAGAAGTTGATATTAATGAAGGTGGCTTCAAGAGCCAATTTCTCGGGACTATTTATATGACTGGGTTCTTCATATGGGGGATCGATAGCAGTTTCAGCGACAGTGACATGATCAAAGCGTGAGCCGGGTCGAACATCAAAGAAGAGTTTATCACCAATGCGAATAGCAAGGAGATCCCAGGACTCTATCGATTTGGGAGCACACATAATGGCCGCAGCGATACGATCAGTAAGGAAAACGTTGAACGCATTTGCACCCTTACGACGAGCCAAATTCATGACCACGGGATCTTCTGTGGTTGTCACCGCATGGATAACTCCTTCAAATCTAACTAATGGCTTCTCCGTCTTAGTTGTTATGGTATCGTAGGAACGATCGTAATATTTAACAGCACCACATTCAACACTAGAAGTACAAAAGAATACAAGATAAAATACATGGCGAAAAATATAGAACAAAGCAACACATTTACGAACCAAGTTTCGGGTTCTTTAACAGTTGGAAGAGAGAGGGTAGAAAATTGCGCGAACTCAAACTCCTCAAGGTGGTTCCACTCCTCTTTCACATCGACGGAATTAGCTTTATTTCCACGGTTGACACGACGATTAAAATCACCTTGACGCCAATTCCCACCACCTCCCCAATTACCAGTCTGACCACCGCGACGCCAATTATTTTGAAAACTCTGTTGATTATTGTAGCGACGTGAGTTTTGTTGAAATGCTGCTCTATCACGATCATTGAGAGGACGGCGGTTGCGGTTATTGTAGTAACCCAGAGACTGGTACTGACCACCGCCACGACCCTGGAAACCTTGGAAGTTTCCGCGCCCCCGACCGCGGACTTGATACTTATAACGCTGACGGGAGGCTCCGGATTTTTGGTCCTTGCCAGCATTAGCTAATTGAAAGTTATTGTCATCCTCGTCATGGTAATAGGAATATTGGGCACCAGTGGCGCCAAACTGAGTAGTGTAACGATCTTAATTAAAAGTTAATATAATATGAATAGTAACTACTTTTTCCTCTTGTAAAGGAGTCGTAAGGGAGGCACCAATCTGCTACTTTACCAAGCTTGCTATCCTTTGAAAACGGCTGATATGGCATATCTTTAAAGCCGGCTGGAATGTCAGAAGGACCCCAGCTATTGCCATCAGAATTTATTGACAAGCTTTCAAAAGATGGCAGAACGTCACTGCTCGCTGTCATTACAGGCTAATAACGAAAAGTGATAACCTGGGTTTAGAAAACTGACCAATCAGTAGTGAGAATTAAAAAAAGATTGAATAAAAAAATTGTTAGACAATTATACACTTATTCGAATAAATTAAATAAACGCATATACATGACGCCTTAATCACACGAAAGGTCTAATATTCAGCAAAAACATTAAGAAATACTAATCTATCGTGAAATGAACTACGAATAAACAACCTCGCTGATTTTGTTGAATATTCCGGTAAAATGTCATGTCATATAATACAACTTATTTCATTTGAATAAAAATTTATTAGTCTTGTCATGGATTGAATACCATTACATTCGATATATAGAAATTTATATAATCTGTGACTTCAGTTTAGTAAGTGTAGAGGAATAATGTCAATTGATGAATGATGAATGAAATTTGATTTTATTTTTAATTTTGAATATAACGATTCATTTAACTTCTGCTTCCTTCCATATTTGCTTTTTTATCTAATTTATAATGCGTCTATCTTTTCCTCTCAATTAAATGTCATATATGAAATCACTATGATGTGGCCAACTAAACAATTTGTATTCATTTGAATAGTAAATAAATAAATTTTTATTATCCGTTTTCTCGGTAATATTTTTCTCCTTTTGTGTCATATCGAAATTTAATATTGTGTAGGCAATAGTGAGTTTGTGTTTATCTGGCCAAAAAAATAGAACATATTTTAGGTTTAGTGCTTAAAAATATCAAATAAGACCTTTCTTGGTGCTATTACTAAAGAAGACAAAATGTAGCACGATTTGCTTTAAAGATGTATTATTACGAATAGTTATGGATATTTTTGTTATTCATTTGTTTTATTGTGATATTTATTGTTGTGCTAGCTAGTTTTCACTTGTATATGCATTGCGCATTATGGTTATTCTGATAGACGAAATCATTTGATCCTTGTCACAACAGATTTCTCAAGCCCATCCAGTCAGAAATAGTGAAATGATTTGGGCAGTGTTCTCATTAATGAGACAAACCATGTCGATAACGTTTTTCGATCAGCTTTGAGGCCACCAAGAAACTGTCTTAATTTTATTATAAACAAACTATGGTTTTTATATGAAAGTGATTCTCCCTCTGCCGTCAGTTAAGCCTGGTCATTGAATCAGTGCGTGGTTATTTGTGTGTTACTCTAGGTGAAATTTTAAAGTATTTTCTGATCGAAAACGAAACGTTCTTAACAATAATACATCCGGAATGTATCGCATGCAAATAGTTAGATATTATTTGATATTATGCTGAAAAACAACAAATTCTTTAAGATAAACTCGAACCGATGTTGCCATATGCAAGTCCATTAGTACCTATTAAATATCTAATTATTTAGAATCAATTATCTGTATAAAAAGAATGACAACCAATATTTTTGTTACTTTATAATTACCGTATTTAAATTGTGTCAAAAGCCCTTCTTATTTTTGTAAATAATAATTGGTGTCGAATTCCTAAACTGAAGCCTTCATTTTGGTTTTATTTTAATATGTCTATAATATTTCAGCTTCACGATTGCATTCTATTGAACTCGCAAAGCTTTTCATGCTCTTACTTAAAACGAAATACCAAATCCTCTGTGCCATAGCCACGAATAGGGTATTCACATTGAATGAAAAAGGATGAGTTCCTCACCCTTGAGAATGCAATTTCGATCATTATATCACCAGTCCCGCAGAACAAGGTTCAAAAAAGAATTATATGTTGAAGTAAGGCCACCTATTCTTTAATTAGATGGATCTATTTAGCCTGTCTCTTGAGTTATGTTTGTGTGGGGTGTTCCACCAATAGAGGTAAATGTGTGTATTTCACGATTTTTAAATTATATTCCACTTGTGGGGGGCGCAGTTTTTGTTGTTTTAATTTATGGAAAGTAGAAGCAGAATAAATATAGATTCTGGTAATTCATTCGATTATTTCATTTATCATAAACTATCATGAGTCATAAGAGTTTATGCAAAAATATCACAAAGTTAACGGGCTTGAGATTATTAATCGAAAGCAAATAAGTCCTCGAACTATTTCAATTGCTTCATTAAATTAGAATTTTCCCAATTGAAAATTACCTATCAACTAATTATTTTCAGTTATAATGATGCTAGGAACTTCTGTCTTCAAAATAAGAATTTACGTTAATTAAGGCATTCTGAATTACTCTCGTATTCGACACTTGTTGCGATTTAAGACAAAAATATGTATACATACTAAACGGACAGCTATTCTACTAGAAGCAGATATGGTAACGAAGCGCATAATTCAGATAAGCATTGCCGAAGAAAATAATTCCGTAGTTTCTATAAATTGAATCTAGCTGGCCAATAGTGGGCAATCTAATTTTTTTGGGCAGATTACTGATCAATCGGTGGGAATTTGGACACCAGATGTATATCGACCTGCGCACACCGCCCATCACATCAGCTTCTTAATTGCAACACATTTACCTCAACACTCCCTAAAAAAAGCAAAAAGCGATTTTGTACTTCCACTTCAAATTGGCCTGTTTCTTGCCGCATCGCTTGTCCCGAAATCCTAAAGCTAGGTTTTCACTATCTGCGACTCCTTCCATCACCTTCTTTAACAAATATTTTTGCTGTCCACCCTATGATTTTTCTCACTAATGTACTGTTTCAATATCTATGTAGCTCTGCATCTGGCAACAAGAAGTCACTTTTGCGGTTCTTTTATTTTCACTTCTGCCTAAGGAAATTCAACTTAACCAACCTTTCTTATATGCTATTCCATCTCCAGCTCCTCTGCAGTTGACCAATCGATGAATATTGAAGAAAGATACTTGCAGCTCAACCACGGAAACTTACGAAGATGCTTTCTCTTCAATGTGTCCATAATTAAATCCAATAAACTCAATCCAATTCTAACCACTTGATCGTCAAATTAAAACTTCGCGAAGAACGTGAATTAAATAGGATTCCAAAATACCTCCACTCTTCCTTGTTAGGAGATTCAATATTGATCCAAGAAGAAATTTAGAAAGTAATAGGGTTCATGTCATGAATGACATGGAGAAAGTAAAATTGTGAATTCCCCAATTGGAGAGATAATGGAAAATAGCTAAACCTATAAATACCAAACTTTCCAAAAAATGTTCATGTTTTCAACCAAGCAAACAATATATCCTTATTCTTTAACTCACACTCGAAAATAACATTCAGTCGGAAGATAAGCTTCTAATTTAATCACTATCAAATTTATGAACATCTTTTCAATAGATTTGAGTAAAAATTAAACTGTAGTGAAAGATAATTTTAATCACGCTAGGTAATTGGTCTCTAAGTAGGAAGACGAACGCTTAAGAAATATGAAACAAAAACCAGTTCGTTTTCTGTAGAAAAGCAATATGCAAGGTCATTGGCATAGCGATGGACACCAACAATAACAATTTCAATGATAATAGGATTCAGCCGGTGAACTGAATGGCTGAGTGTATCGGTTAAGTCTGACCAATAAGAGTGGGACAGATCGAATTTCTTAACCAGAAGTCTCCATGATATTATTCCTTCAATTGAAATGATCGTTGAAATGTTTTCATAAATGGGTATCTGTTGTGCAATGGTAAATGTGTTCGTCAATAGTGATAATTGAATGATGTGGATTGGGATACATTAACTCAAGCCGTGTGCAATGAGACGGGAACATGCAAACCTAATGGTTACAAAGATACTATATAATAGTACCCAGGAAAAGACAGATTTGGAAAACAAATATGACTTATATCATTTGCAAGACAAATTTTGATTAAACACAGATCTATAACAAGCTAATGGGGGTCAATATTTCACTACAAGCTCAAACAGAATTTTTCACAAGTCCCCGTAAGAACTACACACTAAAGAAATAAGGCAAACGCTCAACAAACCCAAGAATCATAAGCAGGGGTTCGTCCATGAAACTGGGAGTCAATCAAAGTATTTTGGTATATACCTCACGAGAACCCCTTCCCGTCAAATTCCATAATAGACAATTTTGATTTTCCAATTTATCGAATGCTATCAAATGATAAAAATATGCAACGCTGCTTTTATAGAATAATGATCAAAAACATAGGTAAATTTTGCCAAAGATAAAGGGGAAATGCTCAATATAAATTCTGTCGTAACATAAATAACTCAATAACACTTAATTAAAGCAATTACTAACGGAACTTGAAAAAGTAACTTAATATAAACACGGAGCAGTCATGTGACCCAATCAAGAAACAGGGAAAAATCAACTGGAATTTTAAATCTTATCAGGTTCAGTGGTCCAGTGTACAATTTTTACACCAAATCTCAAACACCTATCTAAGCAAGCAGCAGTCATAAACATAACAAGATAGTTAGAACATAGTAATATAGTGAAATGAAGTATAACATAAATCTTAATATTGGCACCTATAATATAATCGATAAGGTAAAATAACCTAATAGATGTGCACATTATATGAACGTGCTTAAAATATTTTTATTATGAAACAGCTATGTATTTCATCAAATACGCATGTATATGCTCAAAGTCACACACTAACATTATTTGAGTCAGTCCTGGTAAACTAGATAATAAATCCTTGATAAAGAAGGTGGTCTCGACAATTAAACGTCCTTGGAAGATCGGGCTTTTCTCAGCGGATTATCATAGGGGAATTCCAAATCTCCATTATGATGCATTCTCACAGGCGGCAATCGAGGATCGGTATTGTGGCTAGCTCCGAAGTAATGCTTATTAAAATAATACTCATCTCGAGGCTTGTCGTCGTAGAATGGGAGACGGATGTCAGGATTTTTGAAGACACAAGCAACGGTGTACGACGCAATAGCTGTCAAACCGGCTCCCACCACAAAAATGAGATAGGTGACGGCATAATTTTTCTTCATCCACGTCACAACAGGTCCACTTTGCTTTTTAGTAGTTGAAAATAGCCTGACCGAGGAACCCAAAATAGGAAGTCGCGAAAACATAATTAAATCCTACGACAAATGGTGAATGGTTGCAGACGAAATGCAGAAAAACGGCCAACGTCAAAAGATGTCATTTTCATTGGCTGAGAAAAGTTAGTCAAATTAAAAAATTTAAATGAAGATTAAATGATATATTCATAAAAGCGTTAAATCATAATGAAAGAATTAAAATTTATTTTAATTATTATTGGTCTATTGCTGTTTAGATAATGAAACATAGGCAATATGAAAATGATTTTATTCAATATATATATATATATATATATATATATATATATATATCAATGGTGCAAGGTTGACTTACTTCCACGTGATGCACCATGAGCAACGTGTACTCATATGGCAAAAAATTTAACTTAACGACAGTTAAGTTTTGACTTCAAAATAAAATGACCTGACTGCATGCCATTTTCGACCACTTAAATTGCAATCACCTTAATTTATCCCTATCATTGTGTCGCTTTTTTGCATCTGTAAATCACTTCTGTCCCCTGTCGACTATTCGCGACCTGGGTGTCACCCCCTTCTCTGTGTAGTCCGAAGTTAGGTAAAAGAACTTAAGATAGTTATCATAAAGCATGCCATTTAATATATATATATATATATATAGGTACGTATATAGTCTTTTATGAGTTAATAATGAGTTTAATGAGCTTTACTTCTGGTTATTCCACTCTTCGGATCTGAATAAGATGTATTCACCGGTATTTAGTCACACATATATCACAGTAACACAACATTGTGGAATTGGTTCGAATCACAACCTCTTACAGTTGGCTTGACTCCCCCCAGTGACGTGGAATCGAACTAAAATATGACCTCCTCTGTGCACCATTTTAGAGAGAGAGCCGCGAATGCAATAAATTTTAATATTAATAATACTCAAACAACCTTCATTCCCTTTATAATTCACATAGTTCTAAGTGTACAGCAAATCATATTGGGGAGGGGGGAAGAAGAGCAACAAAGCGACGCAAGAGTACTGATAGAAAATAGAGAATTCATTGTAAATCACGTAACGGGGCCTCATATAACGGAATTATCTATGTTGTCGAGGTTTTCCGTGGCTTTTGAGCAGTTTTCGTCAGTGCCTACCGCATCACCCTTGTCATCCGCCATTTTTGGCTGATCGTTGGTGATTGCTTGTTGGTTAACACTCAGCATCCGCTGTATACCCTCCTTCACTATCTGGTAATTGTATTCAATAACACCTACAGAGTAAAAGTTAATATAAATGTTAGCGTGCAATTTTCCATCATTATCATTATTAGAGAGTTCACTTGTGTGAATTCTACTATGCTTAAAAATGTCTCATAAGCCTCATCCACCCGCTCATGCTCAAATGAACCCAAATGAAATATCTAAGCCATCAGTTAAATAAACTAAAAAATTACCCATATGAGTGCTCTCAGGAACCCAGCTATTAAGACATGAAAAAATAATCAAGTGGAAAACTCAAACACTAGTAAAGTGAGAATCATGACTTTCTTTATTTCATCATTTCCACCTTTCCTTCCTATCCCTCACTCCGTTATTCTTTTTAGACAGTAGTAATGAAAATATAATTCGAATATTATAATAAAATAGCATGAGCTGACAGTGACTGGGGGTGTCCGTAATCCTAGTAACTCATTTAGATCACTCAATATTATGAGAGAGACAAGACTCCGTGATTAATGCTGGAGTTAACTTGGCACAAAGATCCACGGTAGCACGGCTAGACTTAATCACACCCTCATGTACCATAGTTCATAAACAATTTAAGAAATCATTTATACGCAAGTTTTATCATGGAAGTCTGGATAGCACATGGGCCAAGTGTCTCACATGGAATGAGGCAAATATACCGTGAAGATAAAAACATAGTTGGTGACTAACTCAAGTAATAACCCATCATTTCCATGGCTCATTACACAATCTTGAAGAATAGTACATTTTGTAGTGACATATTTATTATAAATAACCCGATTCGATGGGGATTGTATTCAGTGATCTAAACAATATAGTAAATAGTAGTCTTAAAAGAGACAGCAAATGAGGGATACATTTCAAGTGCATAATAGTCTACTGCCGAGAAAACCTATACTTTGGAAAACTAATCATTCGACAGAGAGTGTAGTATTTTAAAACTTTGAGAAAGAAGAATAAGATATACTTAGAACGGGAACGGATATTCTAGAAGTCGCATTTCTACATCCTCCACCCCCCCCCCCCCCCCCCCCCCCCCACTAAATAGTTAAGTCTGCATCAACCAGAACCCGGAAACTTACAAAAGGAATTCGATATTAGCACAAACAACAGCTTCAGAAAGCATTCTAATTTTCAAACAATTGAATGTTATCAAGGCTAACAAAGACGAAGGGCACTCAAAATATGCACACACACACACACTTCCCAGAGTGAATTTATCGGATAAACTATTGAGACGCGAAATTTGTACTTGAGCTTAGTGAGAAACAAAACTTATTGGTTATTAGAGTAAATTATATAATATACAGGTTTGCATTCTCCAAATAACTTCAAGGACACTTATCACACCTGCTGCAAGCTGAAGGTGAATAGATGAAACAGTGTTAGGTGGCCACAATAACTGCCATATCTTAGTGATATTCAGGTGGACTTAGATCGCTTTGGTTCTAATGGCCAGTCAAAATGTGGAATTCTAAAACAAAGGGAATGATGTTTGAGGTAACCAAGGGGAGGAAGTTGGATCACTCCTATCCTTAATTGCAAGGTCAAAGTGAATAGTATAAAGAATAGGAATAGATGTGGAAGCGTACGATGACTTGAATATTAACTGCAGGTACACAATTCTCGGTTTCTTTAAGTCTTACAATATAACACCACTTATCAGAATACCATCTCTAATAAAAAAATGCAATAGCACATAGCCTCTAGAGATGAGCAAAATCTCTACCTTTAGTAACGCAAATCTTTCCTCAGACTACATTTTTATAGCTATGTCCATTTATTAAGAAAGCGTTAAGTTCAAGATCTTTTTAAATAAAGGAAATATTGACACAATTAATGAGAGTTGAAATTTCGACCAACTAGCAATGAAGTGAAGAAAAAAACGCACCTATCTTCTCCAGCGACTCCTCGCGAAGAATGCAAACCAGTGCCATGTATCGATTGATGCCTCGCAAGTAGATTACAGTGGCATTATTCAATACAATAGTTGAGGATGTCTGCTCCGAAAATGGAGGATCGTTGAGCTCTGCTGCTGGGCTAAGGTAACAAAAGAACATTCAATTCAAAAGCATTGACGTACTATGCCACGATTAAAGATAATTATATGTGGAATTACGTGTAGATAGAGGAGATATTGGTAACAACATCAATCATATCGCAACATAGTTCGTAAGTTTGAATGTCGACGAGAGCGGAGTCGGTTGCCAAGTAAATTTTTGTTGCCACGTCAAAGAGAAAGGCCTTATCCAACATTGAGCTCTAGTGAATAACCGACAGCATATAAAGCAAGCATGAAACCTTTAAAAAGAGCAAAAACTACGACTTCGTAGGTCAAATGGGCTAAGTAAATTCCATTATTAAACAACAGTAAAGAAGGCAGGAAACAACGCAGACAGAGGAAAAGCGACTGGCATGGTGAGTTCATAGAAAAAAAGGCCACAAAATGGATGAGGGTAGGATTCGTGCTATGACCAAACTCTGAGAGCCTGGTTATCAGTGTTATTCAATTCTATCGGATAAAAATACCATGAAGACATAAATGAAGCAAATCAAGAGAAGAGCAAATGAATAACTTAAATTGAACTAATTACAGATAGAAGAGGCAAAGGTCATAACTGAGATACTCCATATCTGCCGTTCGACTCTTTGTTTAACAAAACGCGTACTCAAAAAGAGGCAATCGATACACCAGTAGAGAAATTATAAATTGCTCACACAGAATGAAAATGAAATAGAAGATTTTCAGATGAAAACAGATAAACAGTTTGATTGGACAGGGATAAGCGTATTTACTACTTACGTACCCCGAATCCATGACTCTAGAAAATGCTCAACAAACACAACAGCCTACTCAAGACGTTCGAGACGAGGGAAATGAGGAGTTTAGATTTATCTTAAAGAGGTTAATAAAGTTTTAAAGTAGCAACGGATAGCTTATAAACAATGATACCATAGCGAGGACCAATAAAACTATTTTCAATTACCAAGTAAAGAGTTAAATAACTTACCGATATAAATATGTTAAGTAAGTCTTCAAAAGCATCTAGATATGGAATCAGCTTCTGGACAACTTTACTGAATGCTTCAAAAACTGAGTGATCGTATATGGTAGTAAGGTGGAACCTAAACAAAAAGGAAATGATTAGTAAATTATCAACGTGAAATATAACAGAAGTAAAAAAGAAATGCAAAGCACAACCAGACAGAGTGAAAATAATTAAAAAGGCAACTACCCAAGCGTAACGCCACAGGAATCAGAAATAATATGGCTACAAGATGCAACGATATCATCGACGATATTATTGACTCGTTGAGCAATATCTCGCTGGATTTCAATTTTTTGATCATCCAGAAGGCCATCCACCTTGTGGATGAATACTTCATATTTGATTTTTGGGTTCCTTCTATAAGCATACTCTACTGTAGCAGTAAGGCGCTGTAAAGCTGACATGTAATCGTCTTGGGCATCAATTACGAATATAATAGCCCCGGATTCACAAAATAATGAGTCCGATAGAAACCCTGAGTCACAGAAATCAATATGCCCAGGAAAATCCCAGATTTGAAATTTGATGAATGAACAATCGGAAATATCTAAAGTAAAAAATTAGAGCTGAAGATTTTGGCCTACCGTTCTTTTCGATTTTATTTGTGCTTTCAAGATAAAGAGTTTCAGCTGGAGCAAGTTTGTGAAAAACAACCTTTTGAATTGAGGACTTCCCACTTCTACCATAAAATTGTAGTAATAATGAAAGTTAGATTACCCTTTCAATCCCATAAGAAATATCTTCGGCTTCTGATCAGTTTCTTCATTCTCTGACATTTTACTGTCTAAGCAAATAGGACTGATACTATAAATAAATTTAAAGCTCTACTTTATTTAAAAACTTCATGCACGATTTACATCTAAGCTTCTGGCTAAAGGGGGCAGTGTAAACTGCAATAAAATAAATACACCATGAAAATCTTGTCATGAAAGTTTATAATAAACAAATAAGTAATTAGTAATAATTTAATGCACACAATGCACACTCAAATAACCCAATGACAAACTAAAGGTCAAGTTTCTTAAATCGCGGCGTAATTTACATTATACAAAATCCAAAGATATACTATGAATTTAATAGGTATTAAATTATAGCTTTTTATCAATTTCAACCTTCAATTTCAAATCTAACGAACAGTAGTCTTATCAGCACTTTGTAGAGGAGCTCCTATTCGCATTTCAATTACTCTCATTGTACCATTTGAACATATTCCGAAATGATTATCAGTAAATTTCAGAAACGAATGTAACATTCAATACCTTTTCATATTTATTTCCTTGCTGTTTCTCTATTAGGCTACCCAAAATATGGGATAATAAATTTATCAGGACTATATTTTGGGTTTTATTGTGCAAGTAAGTTACCAATTTTTCCATATTAAGGATATATCTATTTTCGTGATTTAATAGTTTAAATTTGTTGTATTTCCGAATATTGGTATATTTGAACAAAAAACGATCTCGTGATTTCTTGACGGTGCATTACCCCATGAGCTTTTAAAGCAGTTAAGATGGTAGTTAGATAGTCTCAGATTTGTAATAGCTGCGCAGCTATAGAAGATCACCTTTGTGTTCCTTAAGAAGATATTTAATTTATTTGAGCTACTTTTAAACTAAATTAAACGGTCATACGCAGTTTTACTTTGATACATTGAAGCCATTCTTGAATTAACGTCAGTGTATTTGTTCCCGATAAGACACCAAAAAATTATATCCACTGATCAGGAAGATCACTCACATAGGTTTGCGTTTTTCAATGGTAGTATAATGATTTTGTCTCTGACTCTACCGATTTCGGTATTTATTAAGGTACTCGAAATTTTGAGAGAGTTAATTTAATAAACTAAGCCTATAACAGTCTATCCAGTTAATGAGAGTAATTAATTGGCTAAGTCCATATCAATGCGTATCTAAGTTAATGATCTCCATTTGAACCTTAAGGATAAGGGAATCTGAAGAAGGAAGTTGAGGTCAGTCTTAATTGAAAGCTATTATGAAAAATGAAAATTATTGGTTTTCTATGTTACTTATAGGGGACATATTACATAAGCTAATTTCGAAAATATTTATTAATGAATTAAGGTTGGATATAAATTTCTTATTTACTCAAACAGCGTTATCATGAAGGTGCGTATCATCATTATTAAGTTCTATTCCTTGATCTATTCTTCATTGCCCTCTATACAAGCACCTTTATTCATATATTATCGGTAAAATTCTCAGCCTCCTTTACTAACCTTAAATATAAAAGTTCAAAATCCTAATATGGCCAATAACCCAGTTCCCATAACTCATCTCTCCTTTTCACTTTAATACAATCGTTGAGTTCCACTAAGTTACTTTATTCGTATTTTCCGAATGTGGGACAGCTACTAGTTTTCATTGTGGAAATTGCTCTGCCAACATAAACAGTGGTCATAGTTCGATTGTCTCGAAACTATACAGTAACCAAGGAGAAGGCGGAAAAGCACATACCCAAGAAATTGGAAGTCCACTCCAGTAAACTAGGAAATCGGCAAAAGAATTGCTATCAAACTTTGTAATAAAAAATTATAAAAATTGCAGAAATATTTATTTATTTTTATCAAATGACAGACTTTATGATAGTTATCATTAGCTCTTTAGTTGACTTCGGGTTTCACAGAGGAGAGGAACACCAAAATTATAAAAAGTCGAGAGGGGGAATAGAAGAGTGATTTACAGATGCGAAAGAGACAGACAGGCACAAAGGCAGGAAATGGGTAAGATGAGTGCTGTGTAAGTGGTCTAATATGACAAACAGTGGAGTGCTGGTAGTTTGAAGTCAAAATTTAACTGCCGGTTGAGAGGCTTTTTTGTTGCATGAGTATACACTGCCTAGAGTGCACCACGTGTAGGTAAGTCTGCCGCATATCCCAAATTGAAGAAAGATGAAGTAGAGAAATAATGAACTAAATGGATTTAAAAATAATTTATATTGAGCCTAATTCTGCTGAAATCTGTTACATTTTTGCTGCAGATAAATGGGGATGAATTAAAATTAGAAAAAAGTATGTTCGATCACATACGTGTCAACACATTCAGTAAGCTCCAGGTCTCATTTCTACTAAAAGTGATTAAGTTGGTAGAGAGATCTTTTCATTTTTATAGATATAGAAAGGCGATTTTTGGCTGTCCAGATACTTCTAATATGGATTAATTATTCTTTTAAGCCGATAATAAATTGACTGGTACTTTTCACTATTTCTTTCAGGCAAACGAATTAAACCTATTACCGAAACTGTGCTAGTAAATATCCATGTTTAATGTGAAAAGCGGTTTACGCTGTTTAGACGATAAAAGCGACAAATGGTTCATATTGCAAAACATTCACTATTTTATATTATTAAAGTGGGGAGTGCAATAGACTTACCTCCATGTGGTGCACACTTGAACGGCAAAAAATTTTATTAACCGGCAATTGGCTTCTCACTTCAAACTACGTACCCCACTGTATGTTACATTCCTCCACTTCCACAATACTCACCTTACCTTTTTCTAAACCTTTGTGTCTGTCAGTCGCCTTTACATCCGTGATTCATTCTTCTGTTCCTCCCCTCTGTGAAGCCCGAAGTCAGCTAATGGGCATATGATAATTATCAAAACGCCTGATATTTGAAATAAATTTTATTAAAGTCGAAGTTATTGCAATAATTAGAAGACATTATTGTTATTTCAAATGGCAGGCGTTTTGATAATTATCATGTGCCCATAGCTGACTTCGAGCTTTACAGAGGGGAGGAACATCATAGTGAGAAAAATTCGAGAGGGGGAAAGAAGAGCGATTCACAGATGTAAAAGAGACAGACAGACACAATGGCAGAGAAAAGGTGAGGAGAGTACTGTGGAAGTGGTCGAATATGGCATACAGTGGGGTCATGGTAGTTTGAAGTCAGAAGTCAACCGCCAGTTAATAGATGTTTTGCCGTATGAGTATACGTTGCCCAGGGTGCACCACGTGGAGGTAAGTCTATCGCGCACCCCTAATTAGAAGACATACATTTTCAAATTGATGAAATATGAATCGAGATGTGTGGGGAACGAAACGCTAACATGACTGAACCAATGAATCTCATCCGCGCTATAAAATTCTGGAATGAGTAGCATATCACTTATCCTATATCCATCCTGCTGATCGTGCTAGGGTGCGTGCGCGGCACGAGCGCAGTAACCAACCAGCCAATCAATAATCAATATCCACGCCAAGTAGTCTAAATTGTACTTAATGGCTTAACTCCGCGTTCCATATCGGAGGGTGGGCTCAAATCGTTGTAGGGATCTTGACATAAGGGCTGTTGTCAGCAATAAACTCAATTGGAATCAGAGAGCCACTCAAAACAGCTGAGATAAAGGAATGTAGAAAACCCTATCAGCTGCTGAGAGAGAAAAGCAAAACAGTGGTCCTACAATGGATTCCTGGTCACTGTGACATTAAAGGCAATGAGCTTGCTGACACACTTGCTAAGAAAGGGACAACGATTTTGCAATGCATGGACCGGCCGATGTCTTTCCACACAATGAAGGCCTTAATCAGGAGAGAATTCCAGACCTCAAGGTGGAACGAACTTAAAGCTCGAACAAAGGAGAAACAGTGGACAATGGCACTCTCCGACGTAGTCGAATGGCCAAGAATCGAAGCCGTTGCTGAGTTCAGACTACGTATCGGACACGATTGCTTGGCAAAACACCCTCACAGATTGGGAGAATACACTAAACCCACATGCCCCCTGTGTAACCTAAAGGAGGAAATGGAGAAGACCCACCTGATTCGGTGTCCAGCCCTAAAGACAAGGACGGAAAGCCAAAGATAGTGGGAAGCAAGAAGACAGCTAATGAACTGCTATTAATTAACTGCTATAAATGTACCCCCCCCCCCCCCCCCCCCACCCTTGGGGGAAGCTGAAGTAAAAGGGCTAATGATAAATATCATAAAGCCTGCCATTTGAAATAAATAAATAAATAATGCCAAAATATCATTACACAAATAAACATGCCCCTTAAATTGAAAAACCAACACGGGAGATCATTTTTTACATTTTTCTTGATTTATTGGCACTGTGAACGCTGGTAGCTGAAAAAGTGAATTTGGTTCCCGTGGAGAAAATGTCTCCATAGCATTGTACTATTTCTAGCTGTAAACCACAGAGCAAGTTAAAATAATTGAATTATGAGAATAAGAGAAATGCGGGAACGCCATCGCCTAACATTTGATCGCATTCGCTCACAACCAATAGCCAATCAGAAGCGAATTCGCCATGTTGATTATGACTAACCTTACGGCGTGTACACTTTCACCACAATACACTCCCTAAATAAGCGGGTTCCGTGCGATACGTCTGTTCCCTCTATAGCTGGGTTGTAGCTTAGCTAGTTCTGGGAGTCTAGTGAGATACAGGAGAATCTGCCATAGGGATTTCTGAGTCTGTCAAGGCGTTGACCTGATTTACCTTTTTAAACATTATGGAATAATGTTTAAACTCATAGTGGCCAACGGGCCTATGTTTTATCAACACGAATTCGCTTTGTAAAAGGTTGATAAAATCTTAGCTCCACGCCTATTTTCGTTCATTTACCATTGGTATTGAATGATGAAAGATACAATATTCTTAAGGTTTCATTAACCAAATTTCGAATTCCTCCTCTTCGAAAAACCATTTGGTGTCATTTTTAAGTTATCTAAATCGAAAATTCAATAATTACAACTTTTTTTTCGGGAAATAAAATCGAATGTAGGAAATAAACTGATGGTTTTCTAAAAG